ATTTTGTACGTTTGCCCACTGACAAAGAAATGATCAGTCTATAATTTTAATGGTAGGTTTATTTGAACAGTGAGAGACAATAGCAACAACAAAATCCAGAAAAACGCATGTCAAAAATGTTATAAATTGATTTACATTTTAATGAGGGAAATACGTATTTGACCCCCTCTCAATCAGAAAGATTTCTGGCTCCCAGGTGTCTTTTATACAGGTAACGAGCTGAGATTAGGAGCACACTCTTAAAGGGGGTGCTCCTAATCTCAGCTTGTTACCTGTATACATAAAAGACATCTGTCCACAGAAGTAATCAATCAATCAGATTCCAAACTCTCCACCATAGCCAAGACCAAAGAGCTCTCCAAGGATGTCAGGGACAAGATTGTAGACCTACACAAGGCTGGAATGGGCTACAAGACCATTGCCAAGCAGCTTGGTGAGAAGGTGACAACAGTTGGTGTGATTATTCGCAAATGGAAGAAACACAAAAGAACTGTCAATCTCCCTCGGCCTGGGGCTCCATGCAAGATCTCACCTCGTGGAGTTGCAATGATCATTAGAACGCTGAGGAATCAGCCCAGAACTACACGGGAGGATCTTGTCAATGATCTCAAAGCAGCTGGGACCATAGTCACCAAGAAAACAATTGGTAACACACTATGCCGTGAAGGACTGAAATCCTGCAGCGCCCGCAAGGTCCCCCTGCTCAAGAAAGCACATATACATGCCCGTCTGAAGTTTGCCAATGAACATCTGAATGATTCAGAGGACAACTGAGTGAAAGTGTTGTGGTCAGATGAGACCAAAATTGAGCTCTTTGGCATCAACTCAACTCGTCGTGTTTGGAGGAGGAGGAATGCTATGACCCCAAGAAGAACACCATCCCCACCGTCAAACATGGAGGTGGAAACATTATGCTTTGGGGGTGTTTTTTTCTGCTAAGGGGACAGGACAACTTCACCGCATCAAAGGGACGATGGACGGGGCCATGTACCGTCAAATCTTGGGTGAGAGCCTCCTTCCCTCAGCCAGGGCATTTAAAATGGGTCGTGGATGGGTATTCCAGCATGACAATGACCCAAAAAACACGGCCAAGGCAACAAAGGAGTGGCTCAAGAAGAAGCACATTAAGGTTCTGGAGTGGCCTAGCCAGTCTCCAGACCTTCATCCCATAGAAAATCTGTGGAGAGAGCTGAAGATTGAGTTGCCAAACGTCAGCCTCGAAACCTTAAGGACTTGGAGATCTGCAAAGAGGAGTGGGACAAAATCCCTCCTGAGATGTGTGCAAACCTGGTGGCCAACTACAATAAACGTCTGACCTCTGTAATTGCCAACAACGGTTTTGCCACCAAGTACTAAGTCATGTTTTGCAGAGGGGTCAAATACTTATTTCCCTCATTAAAATGCAAATTAATTTATAACATTTTTGACATGCCTTTTTCCGGATTTTGTTGTTGTTATTCTGTCTCTCACTGTTCAAATAAACCTACCATTAAAATTATATACTGATCATTTCTTTGTCAGTGGGCAAACGTACAAAATGAGCAGGGGATGAAATACTTTTTCCCTCACTGTAAAAGAGTAAAGCCAGTGGGTTTTCAAAGTACCTTCCTTTTACAGAAATACATTTCACGTGAGCCCACCGCATTAAAACAATGCTCAGCTGAGCGGGGTGAGCCACGGGGGGGGGGGGGGGGGGGCACCTTTGTCACGTTCTGTAACTCACGTGACTTCTGCCGCGACAATGTCTGGATGTTTCTCCTGAGGATGACTGCTCGTGTTGTGATCGAAACATCGTGATATCTTTTTTTATTATTTTATTTTTTCTACCTACGTGACTTTACTGAAAGAACCAAAGAGTATGAAAGACGTCTTGTCTGCTGATATTGTTCATATCCGTGTACATCGATATCCCACATTGCTTACACGTACACACCACACACAATGAAATAAATAGAAACTAGAACGACTTTCGGGGATGGGCAAAGATCGAGGAATCTCTTTCAATGGAGCGAGTTAAATGTGTTCGATTCAACATCTCTCTGTACGTCTGTATCTCTGTTTGCCTCTGTGTCTCTCTCTGCCTGTGTCTCTGTCTCTCTATCTTTCTGTCTCTGTGTTCCTCTTATCTGTGTCTGTCCGCCTGTCCTGTATGTCTGTGTGTCTGTCTAAAGCACAGCAAGTTGGCACAGTAGGGGGCACAGGTGGTGCATCAGCCAGTCATCTCAGTCATCTCAGTCAGTCGACCAGTGGCACCTGGGTATGCCCCGTGACATGCCAGCGGGCATTCGACACTTCACTTGGCCTCAAGGTGCACATAGCCTGGCACAAGCGTCGTGGTGACGTCATCACCACTTAGTGACCAATGGCGGTTGTTGTTGACTATCATAAACTAAAATAATAAACCACTAATGTAGACTGTAGCCTGCTATCAAAGCAATTTTGCTGACGGTTTCCATCTGAAGACGGAAGCTTGTGTTGCCTCCGAAACGTCGTGATTTAATTTAGTTTTCATTTATTTTATTTTACCTACGTGTCTGTGTTTAGTGGGGGTGTGCGTGTGTTTAGTGGGTGTGCGATTGATCACATTAAACTTACTCAATTAGCATCAATTAACATGAAATACACAATAATAATTTACATTTCCCAATTTTATTGAATATTTTTCTGAAAAACAATACATACAACACTGTGTCACCTCAGTTTAACACGTAGGCTTTCGCGACCAATATTATTCATAATAAAGGTTTTTGGGTTAGATCGCGTTTATTTATAAATGTGTCGTAACCCTCCACCACCCGACACGGCCAATCAGCAAAAAAAGTGTCACGTTGACAAAAGACAAATAATTCACTACTTCAGCCCACCGGTGTGTTGAAGAGTTAATCCACATTTACAGTTTGAGTACGACGTTTCGCTGGTAAATACATCCAGCATCATCAAGCAATTCGCCAGAATGGTAAAGCCCTCGCTTGCTCCCGGTTTTTATATAGAGCAGCAGGGTGACGTCATCACTTAACTCATATCAGGTGCATTGATTAGAGGCGGAGGGGGGGGTTATTGTAATTATATAATCGATTAGTAATCAGTCATTGGTTATGATTAGTAATGAGTTGTAGATTAGTAATTCTTTAAATGTAATGTGTATTATTTAATAATACGCTTCCAGGCCGCACTAAGCCGGTAGCTGTCAGAGCGATTAAAGTTATTCTTGTTCCTCTCAATTTCAATGGATTCTCTAATTAGTCTTTGCCAGTAATAATTCGTTTTACACACCACTGCAACATTGTCAAAATCAATTGAGTGTCCTTGTTGACAAGCATGTTCTGCCACTGCCGACAGTTGTGTTTGAGATAATTTAATATTTCTCTGATGTTCTTTTAGTCTTACGCTGATGTTACGTCCCGTCTGCCCAATGTAGCAGCTGCCACATGAACACTGTGTCACCTCAGTTTAACACGTAGGCTTTCGCGACCAATATTATTCATAATATTGCCAAATTAGCCCGTGTTCTGCAAAAGCAAAACATTACAGTAAGATTTGGTACAGTACACAAAATTCAAAAACTAGTATCTTGCACTAAAGATGCATTACCTGAACTATCAACAGAAGGTGTATATCGGATTAATTGTTCATGTGGCAGCTGCTACATTGGGCAGACGGGACGTAACATCAGCGTAAGACTAAAAGAACATCAGAGAAATATTAAATTATCTCAAACACAACTGTCGGCAGTGGCAGAACATGCTTGTCAACAAGGACACTCAATTGATTTTGACAATGTTGCAGTGGTGTGTAAAACGAATTATTACCGGCAAAGACTAATTAGAGAATCCATTGAAATTGAGAGGAACAAGAATAACTTTAATCGCTCTGACAGCTACCGGCTTAGTGCGGCCTGGAAGCGTATTATTAAATAATACACATTACATTTAAAGAATTACTAATCTACAACTCATTACTAATCATAACCAATAACTGATTACTAATCGATTATATAATTACAATACCCCCCCCCCCTCCGCCTCTAATCAATGCACCTGATATGAGTTAAGTGATGACGTCACCCTGCTGCTCTATATAAAAACTGGGAGCAAGCGAGGGCTTTACCATTCTGGCGAATTGCTTGATGATGCTGGATGTATTTACCAGCGAAACATCGTACTCAAACTGTAAATGTGGATTAACTCTTCAACACACCGGTGGGCTGAAGTAGTGAATTATTTGTCTTTTGTCAACGTGACACTTTTTTTGCTGATTGGCTGTGTCGGGTGGTGGAGGGTTACGACACATTTATAAATAAACGCGATCTAACCCAAAAACCTTTATTATGAACTGTGTCACCTGCCGTTCAGATTTGGCCACAGCTGTTCACAAACCGCATAGCCAGCATCTTAAACGCCTTTTGGTTTGACAAAATATAAATCGGAGCAGGCTGTTACGGTATAATAACGACGTGCCCGCTAAACTCAGGCCCTCTTATCCACCGATGAACGAGGAAGTTTAACAAAACAATGAAAACAGAAACTCACGCAAATTAAGAAGTAAGCTAAAGTAACAAAAATATTTGGGTTGCTTTAATCAAAACACACCTCCATATTGATTAAACACTCACGCAAACATTCCCCCCCCCGACTCGTGCATTTATACGTTGGCCGAATGCGAAAGCCACAATGCCACACAAAACGCGTTCTAAGGAGATTTGAACTCTCAACGCTCTGGGTTACAAACCCAGCGCCGAATCCCCCGAGCCACGAGGCTGGGTGCTGGCGTGCCCCCCGTGCCGTCGCGAGCGCGTTAGCGGGGTGCCCGCGCTCTGCCGCTCGAATCTTAAAAGCGCAAACGGTCGCCTCCGATTGAATCTTGACGGAAGAATGTCAAGAAAACCTCCAAAGTCGAGACGATCAAAACGGCGGCGGGGCATTGGGGGGCCGAGTAAATGGAACGTGGGATGGCAAAAAGCGATTTGAGCGATAACTACGCCCGAGAGTAAAACCATCCCGCTAAATCAAGACGTGCAGGTCATGGGGCGCGTCCACGCCGTGGGAGGCGCCGCCAGCGGCCTGCTCGGGGGGCTCCTGGTGGGCCCTCGGCGTCGCCCCCAGCTCCGTCTGAAGCTCCTTCAACTCGTCACGGAGCTGCCACAATTCCGATGGTGACGTCGCTCTGGGACCCGCCGTGGACTCCGGCTCGACGGCATCTGCCACCCTAGAAACGAGTCGAATTTCAATAAGAGTATTTTCATTAACAAAAAATATATATACACTCTCCATGATAGAGGGTTTTTTTGGTTATATCGCATGTATAGTGCAGTGTATAGTGTAGTATAAAGTGCAGTGTATAGTGTAATGTATAGTAGTATAAAGTGCAGTGTATAGTGTAGTGTATAGTAGTGTATAGTGTAGTGTATAGTGTAGTGTATAGCGTAGTGTATAGTAGTGTATAGTGCAGTGTATAGTGTATAGTGTAGTGTATAGTGCAGTGTATAGTGTAGTGTATAGTGTAGTGTATAGTGCAGTGCATAATGTAGTGTATAGTGCAGTGTATAGTGTAGTGTATAGCGTAGTGTATAGTAGTGTATAGTGCAGTGTATAGTGTATAGTGTAGTGTATAGTGCAGTGTATAGTGTAGTGTATAGTGTAGTGTATAGTGCAGTGCATAATGTAGTGTATAGTGCAGTGGATAGTAGTGTATAGTGTAGTGTATAGTGTACTGTAGTGTGTAGTGTAGTGTATAGTGTAGTGTATAGTGTAGTGTATAGTGTAGTGTATAGTGCAGTGCATAGTGTAGTGTATAGTGCAGTGGATAGTAGTGTATAGTGTAGTTTATAGTGTACTGTAGTGTGTAGTGTAGTGTATAGTGTAGTGTATAGCGCAGTGTATAGTGCAGTGTATAGTGTAGTGTATAGTGCAGTGTATAGTGTAGTGTATAGTGCAGTGCATAGTGCAGTGGATAGTGCAGTGTATAGTGCAGTGTATAGTGCAGTGTATTGTAGTGTATAGTGTAGTGTATAGTGCAGTGTATAGTGCAGTGTATAGTGTAGTGTATAGTGCAGTGTATAGTGCAGTGTATAGTGCACACAACATCTATATACATATTCTTAGCTCTTTCGGTAAAGTCACGTTGAAGGGAAACAATAAAATAATAAAAAAATATATAAAACAATAAAACCGGATTCCCACCACCATCCATCACAGAAGAATTCTCTCATCAAGACTCTGTACCATAGAGCCCAATGCATATCCGACCAGGAACACATAGTCAGTGAACTCAAGCTCGTACACCAAGTTCTTAAGGCTAATGGTTACTCCGACTATACAATCCGCAAAGCTATCACTCAAACCATGAAGGACCCTCTTGAGGAGCCTTTCAAAACCATCACTTTACCCTACATTGCGGCGATCACAAAAAAGATCTCTAAAATCTTGAATAAACACAAGATCCAGGTCCGTTTCAACACATTACATAAAATACGTGATCTGGTTCCGTCTGTAAAAGAAGTGATTCCGGACATACAGTACCCTGGTGTCTACAAACTAAGTTGCCTCTGTGGTAGTAGTTACATTGGAGAAACCAAACGCCACGTCTCGGACCGCATCCGTGAACACAAAGCAGACCTTAAACACCGTACGACCAACACCTCGGCCGTGGCAGATCATTGTTATAATTCAGTAGGCTCACATGACATTGACTTTTCCAAGACAGAGGTTCTTTGTAAGCCATCTGGCTACCATGAGAGATTCGTTCATGAGGCTATCCACATATACAAGGACAGAGACAATTCCAACCGAGAAGATGGATTCTGGCTTAGCAATCATTGGAAAGATTTGATTAACCATTTCAGGTCTTAATTGATTGTTCACGCTTACAGTGGCTTTCAGACAGCATACATTAATTTTTCGTCTCCCCCCTCCTCTTTTCAGAACATAGATGGACTCGTCCTTCTAAATAAACTGCCAAATCGCTGCGCGTGGCGCTGACGTTTTTCTTAAAAGAAATAAAGACACTGTAAAAAAATAAAAAAAATAATGCAAACCGACACACCTGATGACGACCGTTTGTGTTATGGTCGAAACGTCGTGAGAATTTTTTATTGTTTTATATATATTTTATTATTTTATTGTTTCCCTTCAACGTGACTTTACCGAAAGAGCTAAGAATATGAATTACTGCAGTCACGAAAGCTTTAAATCAAAATCTATATACATAGCTATCAACACATACACTACACTATACACTACACACACAACATCGATATACATTGCTATCAACACATATACTACACTATAAAATATACACAACATATATATAGCTATCAACACGTACACTACACTATACACTACAAACACAACATCTATATCCATAGCTATCAACACATACACTACATTGTACACTACACTATAAACTACACACATCTATATACATAGCTATCAACACATACACTACACTATACAGTATACACTACACACACAACAGCTATATACATAGCTATCAACACATACACTACACTACACACACATCTATATACATAGCTATCAACACATACACTACACTACACACAACATCTATATATATAGCTATCAACACATACACTACATTATACACTACACTATAAACTATACACAACATCTATATACATAGCTATCAACACATACACTACACTATACACTACACACAACATCTATACATAGCTATCAACACATACACTACACTATACACTACACTATAAACTACAAACATCTATATACATAGCTATCAACACATACACTACACTATAAACTACACACATCTATATACATCGCTATCAACACATACACTACACTATACATTACAAACACAACATCTATATCCATAGCTATCAACACATACACTACATTGTACACTACACTATAAACTACACACAACATCTATATACATAGCTATCAACACATACACTACACTATACAGTATACACTACACACACAACAGCTATATACATAGCTATCAACACATACACTACACTACACACACATCTATATACATAGCTATCAACACATACACTACACTATACACTACACACAACATCTATATATATAGCTATCAACACATACACTACATTATACGCTACACTATAAACTATACACATCTATATACATAGCTATCAACACATACACTACACTATACACTACACACAACATCTATACATAGCTATCAACACATACACTACACTATACACTACACTATAAACTACATACATCTATATACATAGCTATCAACACATACACTACACTATAAACTACACACATCTATATACATCGCTATCAACACATACACTACACTATACATTACAAACACAACATCTATATACATAGCTATCAACACATACACTACACTATACACTACAAACACAACATCTATATACATAGCTATAAACACATACACTACATTGTACACTACACTATAAACTACCCACAACAGCTATATACATAGCTATCAACACATACACTACACTATACAGTATACACTACACACACAACATCTATATACATAGCTATCAACACATACACTATACACTACACACAGCATATATATAGCTATCAACACATACACTACATTATATACTACACTATAAACTATACACACCATCTATATACATGGCTATCAACACATACACTACATTATACACTACACTATAAGCTATACACAACATCTATATACATAGCTATCAACACATACACTACATTATACACTACACTATACAATACACACAACATCTATATACATAGCTATCAAAACATACACTACATTATACACTATACACTACACACAACATCTATATACATAGCTATCAACACATACACTACATTATACACTACACTATAAACTATACACAACATCTATATACATAGATATCAACACATACACTACATTATACACTACACTATAAACTATACACAACATCTATATATAGCGGTTGGGAAGCTGACGGAACCGTTATTATTTCCCTTCCACGTGACTTTACCGAAAGAACCAAGAATAAGAGACAGCTTTGTTTAGAGCCTAGTCTCAAACAGTGTTAGATGAGAGGACAATGCCACTACGAAGACATTGACAGCTCGGGGTGAGACACACGAGGCTCTAAAGAAAGCTGTCTCTGGTGTGGAACAATCAGTTTCAAAGACAATGCATCATCATCATCTCGTAGACTACCAGAGCTTGTTTTTTTTCTGTTTGCATGTTCATTACAAGTACCGTGTGCGTGGCCAATGCAGTGAGATGATTCCTTGCAAGAGGTTTACGTTTGGTGTTATCATGTTCACACAGCTGTTTTATTACTAGAAAGGGTAAAACCAATTCTTATATTTTGTTACTGGCAAGGGAGGTCCCATGATGTTTTTTTGCTGTTGTCATCATCGGCGAAACGTCACGGAAACTCGAATTGTCGGCGTAGTTGGGGGTCGCTCTCTGACACACAGCCGGCGAGTGTCGAGCCGGTAGCGACCCGGCACGTTTAGTTTACGTGACGCAATGCCAACCGCGCCGGCGAGGCTCCCCACCTGCTCCGTGGCCGGTGCCTCCCGCTCAGCGAGTCGTGGATGGTGCCCAGCCCCAGGTAGGCAATCTCGGACAGTTCGAGCAGGAGGCTGAGACCGGCGACTGCGTACATGACCAGAAGGAAGACGGTCTTCTCTGTGGGGCGCGACACAAAGCAGTCGACGCTATTCGGGCAGGGGTCACGGACGCACTTGAAGCGCGGGGCCACCTCCACGCCGTACATCAGGTACTGCCCCACCAGGAAGCCAACCTCGGCCAGCGTGCGGGCCAGCAGCTGGAGGGTGTAGGCCACCATCAGGCCGTCCGTCTTGATCCTCCACCGCTCGTTGTGCTGCTTCCCCTCGCCGTCTTCTTCACCCTCCTCCTCCACCTCCTCTTCCACCTCCACCTCCTCCTCTTTCTCCGTGCATTCAATCACGCGGTCGGGGCTGCCGGTTCGCTTGGCTCGCTTGGTTTGTTCGTCTCGCTTGTACTCGATCCTACCACGACAGAGAGCGGCGGCGGCGTCGAAGTTTCACCCCTCGCTACGAGCGAGCCACCGTCGGGACTCGAGGTAAGTGAAAATATTTACCTTCCTTTAAAATTTGACGCTTTATTTACTACTAAGCGGGAAGCACCCGGCGTTGTCCGGGGGAAAACATATATTGAAACACTTCTCAAAACTTAAAAACATAACATATACAAGTGGAAAAAAAAACTTTGATCATTGCCTCATTCGTAAAAACTAAAATGAAACCCAACGCGCGGCGTAAAAAAACGTACGCTCGCGCGCCAAGATTCGATTCTTTAGATCGTGCAAAGGAATCGAAGGTTGTAGATTTCTTTAGAATCAGCCTATTCCTGTTTAATCGATACCACAAAGCTCACCAGATATCGATTCTCGCCACACTTCATCGTCATTTCCCCACCCCCCCCCCAAAAAAAATAAGTGTATTTTTATGTTTGCATGGTGTACAGTATGGAAAGTACCCACATGGCAAATTTCAAGTTTGTTGCATGTCGGGAAGTACGCTAAACATTTTGAACAGACACATACTCACAACTTTGCCTTTTATACATATGCAATTATAATATCGCATGCAAATGTATATTTCTTATTGTTGAAGAGTTTAACAATGCTTCCCTTTTTGCTGTTGAATCGCAGAATATTTTACGACGCTGACCGTGTGCGTGTTTAAACACAGCGCACATTCGCCCTCCCGAACTGAACTAGCCGTTCGGACGTACCGACGGGGGGGCTCGGGAACGGAACTCCGTTCCTAAGTCAAGGGGAAACCTTGCCGGCACTTTCACCGTTCAAACTCGTGACCAAATCGATGGCGCAACCTAATTAAAAAACAAATTAAAACATTTCCAACTGCGGGCAGCCATTCAAATTTCCACCGTAGCCCCCCCCCCCCCCCACTGTGAAAACTCCCTCCGAGAACCTCGGTACCTGGTGATGCGATGCACTGCGAAGCCGAGGTACAGGATGGTGGGCGTGGCGACCGCGATGATCTGGAACACCCAGAAGCGGACGTGGGAGAGCGGGGCGAAGCTGTCGTAGCAGACGTTCTCGCAACCGGGCTGCGCCGTGTTGCACGAGAAGCGGCCCTGCTCGTCGTAGTAGATGGACTCGCCGGCGACCGTCGTGAGAACGACGCGAAAGATGACGAAGGTGGTGATCCACAGCTTGCTCAGGAAGGTGGAGTGCCGATGAACCTCCTCCAGCAGATGTGTGAGGTAGCCCCAGCTCATCGTGGCCGCCGGTCTAATTCAGCGACGCCGCTGCGGGGAAACGTTCACCCGTGTTTGTACAGGCACTACTCTGCTTACAAACATTCAACTTCAGGACTTTTAGAGATAATAAAAAAAAAACCTATCCCGTTTGTCCAGTTGCCCGTTTGGAATGAGAGTCGTAAGTTCAACCTCCACGCACAATAAATGGCAGTGGTGGCATCTACATTGGCAGAATGTGAAGAACCAGTGGCATCTACATCTGCAGAACATGAAGAACCGGTGGCATCTACATCTGCAGAACGTGAAGAACCAGTGGCATCTACATCTGCAGAATGTGAAGAACCAGTGGCATCTACATCTGTAGAACGTGAAGAACCAGTGGCATCTACATCTGCAGAACGAGAAGAACCAGTGGCATCTACATCTACAGAACGTGAAGAACCAGTGGCATCTACATCTGCAGAACGTGAAGAACCAGTGGCATCTACATCGACAGAACATGAAGAACCAGTGGCATCTACATCTGCAGAACGTGAAGAACCAGTGGCATCTACATCGACAGAACGTGAAGAACCAATGGCATCTACATCTGCAGAACGTGAAGAACCAGTGGCATCTACATCTACAGAAAGTGAAGAACCAGTGGCATCTACATCGACAGAACGTGAAGAACCAGTGGCATCTACATCTACAGAACGTGAAGAACGAGTGGCATCTACGTCTACAGAACGTGAAGAACCAATGGCATCTACATCTCCAGAACGTGAAGAACCAGTGGCATCTACATCTACAGAAAGTGAAGAACCTGTGGCATCTACATCGACAGAACGTGAAGAACCAGTGGCATCTACATCTACAGAACGTGAAGAACCAGTGGCATCTACATCTACAGAACGTGAAGAACCAGTTGCATCTACATCTACAGAACGTGAAGAACCAGTGGCATCATAATCTGCAGAATGCGAAGAACCAGTGGCATCTACATCTGCAGAACGCGAAGAACCAGTGCATCTACATCTGCAGAACGCAAAGAACCAGTGGCATCTACATCTACAGAATGTGAAGAACCAGTGGCATCTACATCTGCAGAATGCGAAGAACCAGTGGCATCTACATATACAGAACGTCAAGAACCAGTGAAATCTAGAGAACGCGAAGAACCAGTGGCATCTACATCTGCAGAACGTGAAGAACCAGTGGCATCTACATCTACAGAACGTGAAGAACCAGTGGCATCATAATCTGCAGAACGCGATGAACCAGTGGCATGTACATCTGCAGAACGTGAAGAACCAGTGGGCATCTACATCTACAGAACGTGAAGAACCAGTGGCATCTACATCTGCAGAACGTGAATAACAAGTTGCATCTACATCTACAGAACACGAAGAACCAGTGGGATCTACATCTGCAGAACGTGATGAATCAGTTGCATCTACATCTACAGAACGTGAAGAACCAGTGGCATCTAAATCTACAGAACACGAAGAACCAATGGCATCTACACCTGCAGAACGTGAAGAACCTGTTGTATCTACATCTACAGAACGTGAAGAACATGTTGCATCTACATCTACAGAACGTGAAGAAACCAGTGGCATCTACATCTACAAAACGTGAAGAACCAGTTGCATCTACATCTACAGAACATGAAGAACCAGTGGCATCTACATCTACAGAACGTGAAGAACCTGTTGCATCTACATCTGCAGAACGTGAAGAACCAGTTGCATCTACATCTGCAGAACATGAAGAACCAGTGGCATTTAAATATGCAGAACACGAAGAACCAGTGGCATCAACATCTACAGAACGTGAAGAATCAGTGGCATCTACATCTGCAGAACGTGAAGAACCTGTTGCATCTACATCTACAGAACGTGAAGAACCTGTTGCATCTACATCTACAGAACGTGAAGAAACCAGTGGCATCTACATCTACAGAACGTGAAGAAACAGTTGCATCTACATCTACAGAACATGAAGAACCAGTGGCATCTACATCTGCAGAACGTGAAGAACCAGTTGCATCTACATCTGCAGAACGTGAAGAACCAGTGGCATCTACATCTGCAGAACATGAAGAACCAGTGGCATCTACATCTGCGGAACACGAAGAACCAGTGGCATCTACATCTACAGAAACGTGAAGAACCAGTTGCATCTACATCTACAGAATGTGAAGAACCAGTGGCATCTACATCTACAGAATGTGAAGAACCAGTGGCATCTACATCTGCAGAATGCTGAAGAACCAGTGGCATCTACATCTGCAGAACGTGAAGACCAGTTGCATCTACATCTACAGAACGTGAAGAACCAGTGGCATCTACATCTGCAGAATGCGAAGAACCAGTGGCATCTACATCTGCAGAACGCGAAGAACCAGTGGCATCTACATCTGCAGAACGCAAAGAACCAGTGGTATCTACATCTGCAGAACGTGAAGAACCAGTGGCATCTACATCTGCAGAACGGGAAGAACCAGTGGCATCATAATCTGCAGAACGCGATGAACCAGTGGCATCTACATCTGCAGAACGTGAAGAACCAGTGGCATCTACATCTACAGAACATGAAGAACCAGTGGCATCTACATCTGCAGAACGTGAATAACCAGTTGCATCTACATCTACAGAACATGAAGAACCAGTGGCATCTACATCTACAGAACGTGAAGAACCAGTGGCATCTACAGAACGTGAAGAACCAGTGGCATCCTACATCTACAGAACGTGAAGAATCAGTGGCATCTACATCTGCAGAACATGAAGAACCAGTTGCATCTACATCTACAGAACGTGAAGAACCAGTGGCATCTACATCTGCAGAACGTGAATAACCAGTTGCATCTACATCTACAGAACACGAAGAACCAGTGGGATCTACATCTGCAGAACGTGATGAATCAGTTGCATCTACATCTACAGAACGTGAAGAACCAGTGGCATCTAAATCTACAGAACACGAAGAACCAATGGCATCTACACCTGCAGAACGTGAAGAACCTGTTGCATCTACATCTACAGAACGTGAAGAACCTGTTGCATCTACATCTACAGAACGTGAAGAAACCAGTGGCATCTACCTCTACAGAACGTGAAGAACCAGTTGCATTTACATCTACAGAACATGAAGAACCAGTGGCATCTACATCTACAGAACGTGAAAAACCTGTTGCATCTACATCTGCAGAACGTGAAGAACCAGTTGCATCTACATCTGCAGAACATGAAGAACCAGTGGCATTTAAATATGCAGAACACGAAGAACCAGTGGCATCAACATCTACAGAACGTGAAGAATCAGTGGCATCTACATCTGCAGAACGTGAAGAACCTGTTGCATCTACATCTACAGAACGTGGAGAAAAAGTTGCATCCACATCTACAGAACGTGAAGAACCAGTGGCATCTACATCTACAGAACATGAAGAACCAGTGGCATCTACATCTACAGAACGTGAAGAACCAGTTGCATCTACATCTGCAGAACGTGAAGAACCAGTTACATCTACATCTGCAGAACATGAAGAACCAGTGGCATTTAAATATGCAGAACACGAAGAACCAGTGGCATCAACATCTACAGAACGTGAAGAATCAGTGGCATCTACATCTGCAGAACGTGAAGAACCTGTTGCATCTACATCTACAGGACGTGAAGAACCTGTTCCATCTACATCTACAGAACGTGAAGAAACCAGTGGCATCTACATCTACAGAACGTGGAGAAAAAGTTGCATCTACATCTACAGAACATGAAGAACCAGTGGCATCTACATCTGCAGAACGTGAAGAACCAGTTGCATCTACATCTGCAGAACGTGAAGAACCAGTTGCATCTACATCTGCAGAACATGAAGAACCAGTGGCATTTAAATCTGCGGAACAGGAAGAACCAGTGGCATCTACATCTACAGAAAGTGAAGAACCAGTTGCATCTACATCTACAGAATGTGAAGAACCAGTGGCATCTACATCTACAGAATGTGAAGAACCAGTGGCATCTACATCTGCAGAATGCGAAGAACCAGTGGCATCTACATCTGCAGAACGTGAAGAACCAGTTGCATCTACATCTACAGAACGTGAAGAACCAGTGGCATCATAATCTGCAGAATGCGAAGAACCAGTGGCATCTACATCTGCAGAACGCTGAAGAACCAGTGGCATCTACATCTGCAGAACGCAAAGAACCAGTGGCATCTACATCTGCAGAACGTGAAGAACCAGTGGCATCTACATCTGCAGAACATGAAGAACCAGTGGCATCATAATCTGCAGAACGCTGATGAACCAGTGGCATCTACATCTGCAGAACGTGAAGAACCAGTGGCATCTACATCTACAGAACATGAAGAACCAGTGGCATCTACATCTGCAGAACGTGAATAACCAATTGCATTTACATCTACAGAACATGAAGAACCAGTGGCATCTACATCTACAGAACGTGAATAACCAGTGGCATCTACAGAACGTGAAGAACCAGTGGCATCTACATCTACAGAACATGAAGAACCAGTTGCATCTACATCTACAGAACGTGAAGAACCAGTGGCATCTACATCTGCAGAACGTGAATAACCAGTTGCATCTACATCTACAGAACATCGAAGAACCAGTGGGATCTACATCTGCAGAACGTGATGAATCAGTTGCATCTACATCTGCAGAACGTGAAGAACCAGTGGCATCTAAATCTACAGAACACGAAGAACCAGTGGCATCTACACCTGCAGAACGTGAAGAACCTGTTGCATCTACATCTACAGAACGTGAAGAACCTGTTGCATCTACATCTACAGAACGTGAAGAAACCAGTGGCATCTACATCTACAGAACGTGAAGAACCAGTTGCATCTACATCTACAGAACATGAAGAACCAGTGGCATCTACATCTACAGAACGTGAAGAACCTGTTGCATCTACATCTGCAGAACGTGAAGAACCAGTTGCATCTACATCTGCAGAACATGAAGAACCAGTGGCATTTAAATATGCAGAACACGAAG